TCAAAAAAATAATTCAAAGAGAAAAATTAATAATTATAGTGATTCGTATAAATTTTTGTATTCTTGTGCAATTCACAATGTTTCTTCATTAATCCCATAATCCAAAAATGAATTTTCCACAAAGTATCTTTACATTTTCTACTAAAAAATAGTATGACTAACATCTCACATTTCATACGTGCATTACGCATATTTTTTAACACATTTCACGATATTCTTCAATAACAATTTCAATTAATTTTCAATTACTTCAATCTCCACCCAATTTCTTCATTTTCATCCCAAATTGATCCTACGATCGAATGAAATCATACGTTCAAAATCACGATTATTGACAATTGAAACGCTGAAAAGTGTGAATCTTTTATCTATCGTCAGAAAATTCCTATCTATACACGAGAATAATCGATAAAAGCAATCCGTTTGGAGCAAAAGTCACCCAATCGCGTGGTTAGTGAAATTCGAAAAGTTCGCTAAACTTGGAAGATCGCGTAACTTCCGTCGCTTCACTTTTATGCCAAAAACAATTTAACCCCGTTCACGGGCGTCGTTTAAGTACAGACAATATGGCAGCTTGATATCGATTGTCAATAATCAAGAGTTCAACAACAATGTAAAGTAGCGTTTCGTCACATTTAGTAGCGCTCGGTATGTTCAACGACAAGGGTGTTTCAGCAACGAAATTCCATGAACGCCATACTCGGATTCTTGTACGTACAAACGTTCATAATTTACCCCCTTCGATTCTACGAGGTAGCTGATAAAATAAGTGCAAATCGTATTCCGAATGTTGAATGTAATTTAAAGAACGTCAAATGACAACATTCGTTTCTGTGCAATAATATAAATCGGTGAATTATTATTTTCACAATTACAGACATAAACCATTTCCTCTTGTTCTTTAATAATTTCAGTAGTGCCATTTATGCCATTATTATGACAAAAATTACCAAATTTGAAATGTTCAATTGCCATTCTATTTGAACCACTTTGCTTCATAGTAGTTGCAATTTAAAGAAATTCTTTTCTTTGCAATAATATAAATCAGTGAATTCTTATTTTCACAATTATGGATATAAACAATTTCCTCTTGTTCTTTAATAATTTCAGTAGTGCCATTTATGCCGTTATTGTAACAGATATTATGAAATTTTGCTTCCCACTTTGAACCACTTTGCTTCATAATAATTGCAATCTAAAGAATCTCAAACAAACAAAATTCTTTTCTTCACAATCATACAAATCAGTGAATTTGTACTTTCTAATTCTAATAGTGCCATTTATGTTATTATAACGTTCACCTATTACTAAATTTGAATTGTTCAATTACTGTTCAATTTGAACCATTTTTACATCATAACACGTTAAATTATAAACGAAAACAAAACAGGTGTCATTTGCTGCGAGTTATGTATCGATTATTGCCAACATAATTATGCTATTCCCATCGCGATAGACATATAAAACAAGTATAACTTTTCTTTACGTAAGCAACTTTGAAATACGTCGAAATTTACCATATAAAAGTAATGAAATTATTTGACATTAAGTGCACCGGAGGAAAAAGGTCGAAAGAATAATGCGTCTCTTTCCGGAACATAATTTGGAGGTCTAAATCAATTCCATTACTTTTCACTCGTCCGCGACACGCGAGCACCTTAACAAGGATAATAACAACAGCATTCTCCTTATTATTTTTCAAGTAGAGTCCACAGCTAACGACGTCATCCACAATGACGTTATTTTCCCTGTCACGAAAGCTTCCTTCCGAGAGAACTTTTCTTACCTAAATAGTACGTGAACAGTTTAATTGTACAATAATTAAGAAATAGTAAAAGTAACTATATCTCCATTGGTCGATCGTTGCGTTCGTTAAAACGCTAATTATCGTCGATCGAAGTTGATGAATTTTCGATTACGATTTTTGAAGTTAGTCGAACTTTATAGTATGCAATTTCAGAGACGTTGAAACGTTTTTTCATATCACCTAACCTTTCGGTAGCAGTGATGCTTTTTCAGCCGATTTAACATACAAGATCGATAGAATCTGAAAATTATTAAGAATTCAGGGCCATTCGTTTCGGAGGCACTCAAAGATACAAATATGCTGATGAATCACATTCAATTGCCACAATATGGTCAACGATTTAAGATTCGCAAATTATCGACAGCGCGTGCCGCTTTGGTAAGCTGCTGATATACTATTACATAATACAGTAGACTCCTGAGTCACACGAGCCATATACTATAGGTTATAGAAGGGAAGATACAAGTGTAGGATTGCCATCTTATTTTTTAACCTAGGGAGTTTCAGAATAGGTATAAATGAAAAAGTCAAGGAAACAGCTTTGGGGAGTTTCGTGTGAAATGTGCTGCGTAAGCGTAAATATTGCGAACCTACGAAAACTTTTGATTCTGTTAGTTTTTCTAAGTTAAGACAAATTCGAACAAGTGGAAATTTGGGTAGTAACGCGAGACGGTGATACTTTTGAGAGGAATAAATTATGATACTGCGTTAAAGTGTTAATAAAAAAGTCTTAATGACATACAAGTGTCGACTATAACAATGCGTTCACGATTTATTTAATTTTACAATGATCAATTTAGTTGACAGATCACCCCTGAGGACTGAAAATGATACCTAAGTTTGGCTTTCTTTTTTTGAGAAAATAATTCACTCAATAGAAAACTTTTCATAAGAGCATTATTATGTTGCCCTTGGAGAATGTCAAAATATTTTTTTCATTTAATTTCTTTACAAAATGGCGATGCTACAGTCGCATCGCAGAATATCTGTTTTCGACTACTTTTGGGTCAAAACTTAGAAGAAAATATAAAAAATTCTCATCATCTGCATGCCAATTACTGAAAAAGTACGTAGGATTTTGAAAAAATATGAGTTTCATAGAAATGGTGAACGTATGAAGAAGGAATTTCATTTTTCCCCTAAAATTTTAATATAAAAGTGTTATTTTCAGAAACGATTTTCAGAAATATTACAGAAATCCTACCCACTTCTTTAGATTAAACAACAGAGAGTATTTCGTGAAAATTTCAAGCGAGTCGGAAGAAAATTGTAGAAATTACCAACAATTTTAAACGATTTTAAAGTTGTCATTCTGAGAAAAACGCGCTTAAAGCTTCCATTACTGATTAACTGCACGATGGCGCGCTCCATTAAATCGGCTCTAATAGCATAAAACCATTGAAACTTTTCCTTGAAACACCTACAAACTATCAATTTAAGCAAACTAAAAAAAAATTCGATTTCTTCAAACCTCAGGGGTGATTTAACCCCTTAACCCTTTCATTGCTATTGGCGCCAATTTTGAAAATTTGCTCGCACTGTTACTGTTGCAGCCGTTTGGTCCACTTCCACCTTAATTTAATACTTAATTTTATCCTTTACGCATCTTTCCAATTAATTTAATAAACTGAATTTTAAAACGACACTGTCGCAAAAGCAACCTGCCGTAACCTGAAATCTGCCGCAGCAAAAGGGTTAAGAACGCTAATTTTTAAGTCCCTGGTACACGTTCAAAGCCACGATCTCTAGTACAAAGTAGCATGAGCAACTTTTCGATAGCATAAGGGTCGGGACACACGAAATTTCCGCACAAACTGGTTGCTGCAACTCGACAGCAAGGGCGCTTGCGCCACGTTCAGATTCAAATAAAGCGAGAAGCACAGGGGAGCTTGACCCTTGGTCATCGTCGAGAAAACAGTCTAACCCGCAACCTTCACAGTGATAGGCATGCTCTTTACGCAGCAGTTCACATCTCTACCATGCCTTGCCAAGTATAAAAAGTGGGTACGAGCCCAAATTTCGTTAAAAAAGCTGTGGTTTCAATCGCTCGTCCTTGGAGTACCGCATTTTTTAAACAAGCCATCATTTCACACTGTATCGCGACCACTTTTGCTTCTCCAAATTTCATTTCGTGTACAATTTGAAACACTTTCTTCTCTCATTTAATCGCTTCGAAACAAGTGAGAACACAAACATATTGTCATACTTTGTTTTTTTTTTTTTTTTTAATTTTGTCAAACACTGCTCACTAGTAAAAGCACGAGTGTTCAATTCTTACTCTGTCGAGCAGTTTCTCTTCGCTTTATCTCAGACACTGATAAGATTCTTCTTAATATTTATTAACAAAGTAACGCAAAATGCAATGCAAAAGTGCGATTCGTAATTCGATTGAAGTCGATGAAATTCCGAACTCCGTCTATCAAATTCGAAGTTTTACATCGAACTCGACTCAGAGTGAAGTTTATCATTCTTGCCTAACACCATTTCTCTTTTTTCCTACAGTTACTTTCAGTTTTACCGCATTTGAACGGATGCGATGTTACTTTCGAGCGATAGTGTGTATGTTTCTGTGCTATGTTCTCCGGTCGAAAAGTGGTATTATTATTATTATTGCACTGTCAATCGAATAAATGACTCGAGGAATGCGTTCCATGAATCGCAATTGTCATTACACTTCAATGGGAACACGCGTGCTTTCGCGTGTCACATTGTACGAAGATAACATCCGTATCAGCCTCATAACTGTGTCGCATACTTCAAATATAGGGCTGTCGGTTTACCTCGGTAAAAACATCGATGTTCCAACGACTTTTGCTATTTCGTAATTATTAGGTCATTTCATGAGTTCGTGTTATTTTTATAATGTAGATCAATATTTCTAGCGAATTTTTTAAATTTGATAGAAGAAAAAGTAAGCACATTCTCGTTCTACTTCTGGTTTTTTTTTTCTTTTTTTGGTAAGACTATTATGTTGTTGCTATAGAATTTCCTTGGATTTTCGTTAAAATATCTTTCGCTTTCGGCACGAACTTATGGGATGACCTAATCTCTTGCCGACGATCGTGCTAAATTACTAGAGGTGTTTTCGAAACAAAAATGGTTTCGTTATTAGTGTCTACATTTCTACAAATTTTCAAATTTTCTGGCATTTTCCAGTTGCCGAACTTCCCTTGTTAGTAACTAAAATGAACCCTAATGCAGCAATCTTTAACCTTTTTTATCTCACGAAACTAATTATTCAAATTCTACGGCACACCAAACAGTACATTGCATTTTTCGCCGATCTGACAGAAAAGTGTACATTTTTGATTGATTTACAAAGAAAATAATATTCTCTTCCGTTACTTTCTTAATATAATATAATCTATAGATCTCTCCCTGCACATCAGTTGAAGATCAGTGCTCCACTGAAAAATTAAAAAAAAAACAACTATTATCAACCCTCCCTAGGCAAACTGTATCGTTCATGCCCAAGTCTAATTTGTTCACCGTTCCAAGCTTTCAAAAAATCTGAAAAAATTCTGGGGTACTCGCCAAAGTCTCTACTACATTACAATTGTTCCTTAAGTCAAATGTTTAAAACTGTATTTAACAAAAGTGAAAATTCATTTGGAAGAAATTTCACTTGAGTCGTCAAAGATCCAGATTGCCCACGGAATACTACCAATACTATCACCATTTAATTATAGCGCGGTATCGCGTTGCGTTACATTTCATAACTAATCCTACGAAGTGATAACAATTTTTCAGAAAGTTCTCTTTTCCGCAGGTCACGCGCGCCGAGCAAGGCGATGGAACGATACGAACGACTGGCGCGACTAGGGGAGGGTAGCTACGGTGTCGTCTTCCAGTGTAGAGATCGGCAAACTGGAAAATTGGTAGCTGTAAAAAAGTTCCAGCAGACCGAGGATGATCCTCTCATACGGAAAATCGCGCTGCGTGAAATACGGCTTCTTAAGGTCAGTGTTTATGTCCGTAGAAATGTAAATGCGTGTGCAGAAATCAGAACCTAACTGAGCCTTAAAAAGAAAACGTGCACTTAGCACCGCCGAATATTTACTCCTTCTAAAACGTATTGTTTCATCGTAGTGTATTGCAGATGTGACATAATAGAACAAGTGAATTCGAAATTTGTATATTATCACGGTCAAAGCTACTGTTGGCGTTCAAAAATGGTAGATAGTAGAAAATGTGGATCTGGGATAATGAAGTAGCATAACTCAGGAAATATCAATTTTGATTTTTCTACGTATATAGATTCCATAGATACACTGTTCTTATCGTGCAAAATGATAAGCAGATCAGATTATACGATCAGTATTCAACTATTAGTCAAATGCAAATTATAAATTGCTTTTGCAAAATTTACATTTTTTGAGTTACGTCTCTGTTAATGTCAAGCAACGCTATTTGCAACCCGTGGGCGGGCAAAAGAGTATAATTTTGGTCAAACAGGATAAGTATGCTAATATATTCTACGTTGCTGACATTTGCTTATGGTTCTAATAGTACAGGTCAGTTTCACTTCTTTTACCTGAGATTCTAATAGGATATGTCAAACATACAGTACATTATAAGTGCTTCTCTCTTTTGCCCGCCCACCAAAGATATGGTCTAACAAAAATTCCACTCTGATAACAATACTAATGTGAAACTAAAAAATCTTCAACTTTCTCTATTGATAAATTTCCAAAAGAAAACCACGACAAAACGCTTGTCAGACTGTTCAGAAAGCAAGCTTCCTATCTTCAGTTCGTCGCACAGAAATAATATATACAGTGTAACAAAAGTTCGACTCTGATAACAATACTAAACGTGAAACAGAAGAATCTTGAACTTTCTGAACCGATAGATTTACAAAGAGAAACCGCGACAAAACGCTTATCAGACTATTTAGAAAGCAAGCTTTCTGTCTTCAGTTCCTTCTTCCCTTTCCATCGCAGTTCTAATTCTCCGCGTACATACTTCCGGATGAATGACCCCATATAGCCTGAAAATGCTAAAGCTCACGTTGGCTACTCCTGGACTGAAGAAAATCTCCTTCGAAGAATTTCAACGATATATCAGAACTATCTTAACTGATTTTCCATCCGGTTAATTGTAATTAACATTTCTTGAAGATTTTCCGGGTGAAATTCGTCTGTTTGCCGGAAAGAAAAATTCATAATTTTCTACAACAGTGTAGCTGCATAAATCCACCGCTGGCTACAAGAAGTGGCCAACGGTCAATACCGCGGCGGTCAATATCTTAGCGTGTTCTGCCCTCAGCGACCTAGCCTTATCGAAATAATCGGAAGGTTCCCTCCTAAGCATATGCGCATTCAAACGAGCCTCTACTCTGCTTTGACATTTCGCTTCAAGGATATTTTCCTTCGTGTGCACAATAAATCCAGAGCGTGATGTTAATGATTTCCTTTCGCAGCGGTGTCTAATCGCGAAACTTCACTGCAAACGGGGCGAATTAGAGAAGATTTTCCGCTCGAGTATTTTATTTGCATTCAGGTCGCAGAATTTTTACACTTCCATTTTTAGACTGTTAACACTTTCTTCCTTTTTTTTTTTTTTTTTTGCCACCCCGGTTGCAGCTTGGAGGATACGGTTTACCTTTACGCGAACAAAATGGCGTAAAAAAGAAAATTTTTATACGTAATTTAAATGGTTTCAAAGGGCGAATAAGATGGAAGAAAAATTTTGTCGACGGAAGAAATAGCGAAAAATAAAAGGAAGTTTCACATTTGATTTAAAATTTTAGTCCAAGGTCACTTTAAGGTTATAGGTTCGTGTTTTAAGGAAAAAACATATGTGACCTTGAAAAGAAAAGAAAATAGAAAAAATGGCATTTGTAACAAAAATTTTCTGCTATCTTACATGGTCCCTTTGGAATAATTTAAATTACGAAGATTATTCGGTGGCCTGTTTTACCTGGCCCACCCTGTATATTGCACCAGAACTAAAATAAGCTGTTGGTTCTGCTATTATTATATATTTCAATGCCTCTGTAAATATAAAAGGTATTGTTTCAATCACGATAAGATGTATGATTTACAGAATCTTAAGCATCCGAATCTGGTCAATCTTCTGGAAGTTTTTAGACGGAAACGAAAGTTACACCTGGTTTTCGAATACTGCGAGTACACGCTGTTAAACGAAATGGAAAGATATCCAAGCGGCTGTCCGGAAATCACCACGAAACAACTTACGTGGCAAATTCTACAGGGTGTTGCGTATTGCCATCGTCTAGGTTGTGTTCACAGGGACGTAAAACCGGAGAACATTCTAATTACAGGTGATGGCGTGGTGAAATTGTGCGATTTCGGATTCGCGCGAATGCTCAGCCCTGGTGAAAATTACACTGAATATGTCGCAACCAGGTGGTACAGAGCGCCTGAATTACTGGTAATGTTCTTATAAAATATATACCTTAATCATTACGAACAATCCACATGAACGCGAGAAACGCGAAGTATTCTCAACGGAGATTAAAATTGCTTAAATAAAAAAAAAATAAGAAAACAAAGTGAGAAATTATGTGACCGTACAGTTCTAAATCAATTAATACAAAGTAACATCGGTGGAAATATTAACATTAACACGTTAACTACATTTTTAATGTAATTTCTAAAATTAATAAATATTATTGATTAACTTACTTCTAACATAACCTAATTGTTTTCATTTACGTTTCTTGTATATCTTCTTCACATTTCTAGATTATAACTTCAATTATAGAAATTTAATTTTCTTTAATTACAATAGTGAAACACAATAGCAGTACACTAAAGAAATAATATTTAATGTTCTTCAACAGGTCGGTGATACTCAATATGGCACACCAGTCGATGTATGGGCGATTGGTTGTGTATTCGCAGAACTAATACGCGGAGAAGCATTGTGGCCAGGAAAATCGGATGTGGATCAATTGTACTTAATTCGAAGAACTATAGGCGACTTATTACAAAGGCACCTGGCTATTTTTCAACAAAACGAATTTTTTGCTGGTATTACTTTACCAACACCACAAACCCTCACTCCCCTTGAAACTGCTTTACCTAATAGAGGCAACACTGCTCTGCAGGTAAGTTTTTGTATCAGTGGTTCCATTTTTTTTTTAACATAAAAATTAGATGAGATAATTCCAGACGACATTAACGTCTTTCATTTGATTTCATTTATTTGATGTAACAGTTCGACTTTCTCAAAAAATGTTTGGACAAAGATCCTGATGAAAGATGGTCATGTGAACAACTTCTACGGCACTCCTATTTTGAGAACTTTCACTTCAAAATGCCAGAGGCTGAGATGGAAGAATTCGAAAAGCTTAAAAAATATCGAGATCGATCACGAGTATGTATCTACTACAATTATATGATGACAAAAAATCGATGACTAATAGATAGAATAAGTTAAAAAATATAAAATTATAAAATTCTAACATGTTACATTCCAGAATAGTAACTACAGTCAAATGGTATTACCTCAACTTCCTAAAGCTGGTGCTTCAGTACATAGTCAAAACGAAAGTCGGCCGAAAAGCTCCTCCATGCATCATCAGCAGGATTTTGATCACCTGCCTATTATTAAAGGCTGTAATTAAGCTCCTCTGTGATTGTAATATACATATACATCTATACATATTTATTTAATTATTTATTTGTTTATTTATTTAAAATTTGTATA